CATATGTACATGTACCGGCCAGTTTTGAGCTCCGATGATTTGAAGATCAGATTGTCAATGCAGAACAGGCTAAATATTGAAACAGATTTTTAAAGAAAGATCTTCGTTGTAGGTTTAAGTCTGGAATCAGGTAGACAAAAGAGTTGAAGATACCTTCTACAAGGTTTGAAAAGTCTTTCGATTATTTGACGTCGTTTTCTTCGTCATTGGTGATGTGACTTGTAACGGTTTAGCTATTATAAATGCATACAGAAGCCCTAGTGTTGCGTGTTCATTTTTGATTATTTGGGACCTTTTTCTTTCCTATCATGTTTTACACGTAATTTAAAGGCTAAAATCTTAAAACTATCGGTGGCTTCAAATCTTTTACAAGGGCTAACTAATCATAAGTTCTATACTTGGAGCCCGTTGTTTTTTTTTTAAATAAGAGTCAGCAACTCAAAATTTCAAAGTACATAATGTATTGCTCTAGGAACATTTTGGATGAAAATTTCAGCTTCCCTTACTTATGTGCTAATATACAGTTATCATCAGCATATGGAATTTATTTCTCCAAGTTGATTTGATAGCAAAGAGTTTACTCTATGAGTACACGAGCAAATTTTAAAGATACGCGGGGTGATCAAAAAGTTCGCGAACTAATTGAATAATTTCCCAAAAAAGAAATGATATATAGGGTTTCAGTGTTGAAAATATTTCAAAGTAGTTCTCTCCGATTTTAATGCCATCTGCAGCCGTTATGCCCATGCGCGAATCACGTGATATAGGTGGTCACGTGACATGCTCCTTAGCGTTCTGTACCAGAAGCTTTAAGTTTTTTCCGACTCTTATACTTCTTACCATGCAAGTAATTTTTTACAAGGAAATGGCCAAATCTCGGCAATAGTAGGGTGAATAATGATATCCTTTTGCAGAGGGAGCATGATGACCATCAAACCTGTATAAAAGATATCTTTTGTGATAGAAGATAGTTGATTCTTCACTGCTTACATGTAAAAGCTTAAGAGTTTGCAGCCCTCCACAAGCAAGTGGTGACGTCTCAATATTGCTGAAGATTATCTGAGCAAACAAATGATTTTAAATAGATACCAACAGATGATTAAATATTTATTTGAATATTCCTTGCTTTCCCACCACTGTTTGAAAAGGTTATCCATACCCTAATTTATACTTTTCTATTATGGTAGAGGAGAAATCCTGCCGCTGTCATTTAAACTAATTATTACTTCGCGTATTGCTCTCCATACCGTGAAGCGCTGGCGTTCGATTTCCTTGAAGCGGAGAGGAAAAGAGCATGACTGCATGTATATACAAACATTCGCAGTATGTACCGCGTACTGAAGTGGATCATTTTCTCTCGTGTCACAAGTGTCATGTAATCATACAGGCTTTTTGCGAAGTTTGGACAATTTAAATCTTGTTTGTTCATTGCTGTCATTCATAAAACTATTTGTGCAGGACTTCTATTGGAAAATGACAACTACATTTCCAGTATAGTTGTGCTGCCTCCTTAAGGATTATCTACGAGTTGAAGATTATCCCTTCACTTGTCATGTCAACGTTTTCGCGAGTTGCACTTACTTTCATTACAGTAACTGTTTTAGTGTCTGGATTTTTCTTACTTTTGGTTTGCAAGAATCCAAGTTTGCAAGACGAGTAAGTAGTCAATGCAATACATTTGGTTTAATAAATAATTATTAATAGCAATAATTGTAAAAGTGTCTCTTGAGAATTAATAATTTCAAAATCAAAAAAGTAGTATGAGGCATTGAAAAAATATTACGATATTATCAACTTTTAAAGGATGCCTTTGGTCTTTTCAAAAACATGCCTTCTTTGATAAAATTTGTTCTTATGGCAATTGTCAAAAGATAAATTCATAATGACTGTACAATATGTGCGCTATCATTGTTTTCATTACAATTTCCCTGTGTCATGGTGTCAGATCATAACTAGGGTCAATATGTTGGCAGTTTTGTCCCAAAGTTCGTCCATTATATGTCAATAGTTCATTCGTTGTTGCTGAGTTTAGAGACTTGCTGTGTAAATTGGCGTAATTATCTTTTAAGGTGAACAGAAGTTAAAAGCTCATTATCAATTTGTCAGGTTGACATATTCCCAGACACTCGAACTATGATCAACATGTTTGACCATTTTAAATCATATATTTTTTTTACCCGAGTCTTTAGTTGACATTTAAGAAATGTTGGGTCAATTTTATTTTTAAAATTAATTTAACTTTCCCTCTGTAAACGACACTGTGATCTTTTTAATCCCAACTGGAATTAGGTGCATGAAAAATGTTCCCGTAGACAGGCGATTATTGTACCAAAAAAATCTACCAAATACTTGTGTTGTCTGCCCAAATATGTCTCAATATTTACATAACTTTTTACCATTCTTCGAAATTTGCACTTGATCTTTGTCTTGCCCCCGTCCACCTAAAATATTGACAAATAATCCAAGGCTAATTTGTTGCTTGGGTAAATCCTCTATTTATCATTTTACTCCAAAAACAATCGCACGTGGGACGCTATACTTCAGGACTCATAACTGTCAGGATATTTAATTTTGACTGATAAAGTATTTGTAAACATCAACCTGTCGCGGGATTTAAATAAGCGGGACTTAAAAAAAACCTTACACTATTTGACGTGCATTGATTCTGAATGGGTTGACACTTTAAAGATATGTTTATTGTCCCAGACTTGAAAAAAAGCTAATTGACGTTGATTTTAGTTAGAGATAATGCGAGAAAAATACTTTTGTGACTTTACTTTTGAAGGCCATTAAAGTGGCACGAGATGTAAAAATGCCCTAATCTGACGCAAGCGTTTCCTGTTTCTAGTTATGCAATATGACACTAGCGAGAAAAACCTCTTCGCCATAACTCAGATTCATGTTTCTTTTTTCGATAATTATCTGTGCAATTTATTATTTTTTTCACGGCGTTTTGCCTCATAATATTTTACACTGACATAATCCAGAACCTGCTTGCACCCATTTATGTCAAAGTGCTGATTTTACTACTAATCTTAAGAAGTTATTCGATCCCTGATGTATGTCAACTGTCAGAGGACTAATGTTATGATAAATGCTTGCTATTCTGGGTTCATTGGCAAGCACGAAGCTATAATGAGAGGAAAGATTTGGGCAGTATTCAATGGGAAAGCAAAACTTTGCAAAAGCATTTAAAAAATCCATTTTGAGCAATGTATTAACAACGCGAAGTATGAAACATGTAATACTTGTATCAATTATTCCTTTAATTAATCGTTGATTTCAGTCGAAATATGGATATCATCAGGCGAAATGAGCATTTTAATATACGAAATTACTAGGCTGTTTTTATAAACATGGATGAAAACATTCATAATTGTGTATTTTACGTCTGGTTATTCATTTGTGCAATATCCAGTGTTTGTTTTCCTCCCAAAGATATACAAAGATGGCCAGTTCCTCATCAATTACTTAAAATAAGGAGTTAATTATTTCGGCACAGAGATCACCATATGTCGTACTTCCCTGCATACTAGTATTGTGTTTCCCTTTATCTTATTAAACTAGACAGACGTACTTAAAAAGTGTATTTTACCAATCATATTACATTTTAGTATACACTGAATACCCAATTTTTTAAAAAAGCAACTGGCTAAAAATGTGTCGATACAATAGGAAGGGGTCAAATAAACGCATTAGGTCAAAGGACAAACTACTTCTTTAGAATTGTACTTTTAATGAATATAGCCTCAAATATATCAAATACTCTCAACCATTCGATGCAGTTCCCTTCAGTCGCCTCTTTTACCAGCTGTTCCTCTACCCTCGACTTTGTTGTCCCGTAGGGTGCCCCTGCCTAGAGATATTTATCAGGCTGTCAGTATATTTACAGACTGTCAGACATTGAAGAACTGCAGTAAATAATCCTCGTTGACGCGAGTCAGCCAGTTCAAAGTATCATGTATGCCACTATAAAAAATTAATTTACCTATTATATATATTTCTGCTACCTGGGCTTTAACTTATTTCCGCAGAACGAAAACTATTTGGATTAACATAGACTTCTTTTCTTGATTTGAATTTCAAACTTATACAAGTTATAGGTTGATGAAATTTCTTTTATTACCGGAAACTGCAAATTTCATGGACCCTTGCAATTAATTTAGAATTCATTTCAAAGATTTCAATACACATGTGACTAAATAAGTTGATTATATTAATTTAAAAGATTTTTTTAAAGGTGACTTTAACTGGTGGAGCAAGTGGAGTAGTCCTTTCAATTTGCAGAATCTAAATATACACTCACTTGCGTTGAAAATTTAAAAGAAGGTTAACTACAAAAAAATATTGCCAATGTCAAGGATCAATCTTCGTTGAAGTTATTGTGTTGAATGTTGTATTTCTTCCTTGTTGTTCGAAGAAAAGGTTTATAAACAGAATGATACAATTAAAACTTTCTTTTTTGGTTTAGGGTCTTAAAAGGTCGATAGCTCTAATATTATATATCTCAAATTTCGATATAATTATGAAAACATCTTAAATATAATGTTAAAAAAAAATCAAGCAACGGTGTACGCATGAACAGTAAAAACAAAGTCTATACGAAGTTATTGTTGATTCATTTCCATCGAGGCCTTTTTATCTTTTGGGTGCTGTTGACAGACCATAAGATGATACAAATTTAGACCATTGATTGCAAGAAACGCTGTTTGTACCATCAGATATTATTGACATATATTTAATTTTCCTTTGATGTACAATGAATGTATATCGTTTGTCTTGATGTGAAATATATAGATTAAAATCTAGCACACTGACATCTTCGCAACCCAAGGTACCCTTGGCTTGCGAAGATGGTACACTATTTGACTGAATTTTATAAGATAGATACATGTATCAACCGACATAAACTACAACGTACTAGACATTCAAGATAGAGATATATTGATATAATAATATTTGTTGTATTGTTAAAGTAATATCTGTAGTAATTATTTTCTTTTCGCTTTTGCAGTACTAAAGATGAAGAAATCGTAGAAGTAATGCGCTCTTTAAAAACATTTCAAAATGACGAATATGTGCTACAAAGAAAAAGAGAAAGAACAGCAGAGAACATTTTGTTGTCCAGACTGGCGTGGCTGCCTAAAAACTTCACAGTGCCAAACTTCTATCTTCAACCCAACAAGCAATCTGTCGTTATGCAGGATATAAAGAAAGATAATCGAACACTTGTGTTCGTTCATCATCCACGAACAGCTGGAAGTCACGTGATCACGTGTCTGAACAATTTATCTTACGCCAAAAATATGGCGATGTCCCCATTAATGAATTCCAAAAACAGGTTGCTGTGGGACACAGGAAATCCAAATACAATTTCATTCCAAAACAGGATAGACATTCACAGAGGAACATTTGCATTTGGGCTTTGTGAAAAGTTGCAACGCAAATGTCACTACTTTACCTTCTTTCGTGATCCCTTTGAAAGTATGGTGTCTTTTTATAACTACTGTTTAAACAGTGGCACGCACGAATTTTGTTCACTTGTTAAATCTAAAACTTTTATTCTTCGGGATTGGATTATTGAAAATGGGGGATTACTTTTGAACCAGTTTTTATATTCGTCTCATCTTTGCTTTAGTCGTCATTCAAATTCTTCTGCAGAAGTTTTAAAATTACCCTGTTGGCACAGACAGAAGTTGGAAAATGATAAATTATCTGATAATGAAAAAGGCCTCATTGCAAATTATATAGCCCGTCATCTTCGGCAATGGTTCTCTGTAATTGGATTATTTGAAAAATTTGAGGAATCTTTGTCAATGTTTGATCATGCTCTTGGAGGACCTTTCAGACAATGTTCATCTAATAGAAAAGTAAACTCCACATTTGAAGAGGAAATTCAACAAACAAATAAAGCTCATTTATTATCTGAAGATCACAGACAAAGTGATTACAACGAAGAATACGAAGACGAGATGGATATACTAAGAGATGATTTTTATGTACAGAGAGCTCTTGCCCCCGCATATACAATTTATGCGGAAGCTAAACGGATATTCAACTTTCAGAGACAAATATTATACAATAAATTAAACAATGTTTAAAATTACTTTGTGTTGCTTCTATCGTTTGTAGGGAATGATGTATGAAAAATTTAGAGAGAAAAAATATAGTCCCCCGTTATCTTTTTTACACGCTCTCCTTTGATGTTATAGAAGTGATATTATTGTGCTGTGGTTATTAGAGTTATCTTTCGTCATATTTCTTCCTTTGTAGAATTACTTTCAAAAAGATACAATTATGATAACTAGCAACTTTATCACTTGGCAGATTTTCTTAAAGGGACCCATCCGTTTTGTTCAGGAAATGCCACGCCTATTCCGGAACAATAATTTTGTATAAGAAAGAACACGATATGAGATTGTTCACATTGCAGCTGTTTTATGATTTAGAATGAACTTTAATCACTTTATATAATGTTCATAAAATTGAACCATCTTTAAGCTTTAAGTCTTGCAATAATATCGACGATCATTTAAAATTATTATAAATTCATTTTCAATGATACCCCAGGAAAGATCATTCATGGAAAAAGCAACGAAGGATACTTCGGTCAACCCATCTCCAATCCATAACCTAATACATGTATCAAAGTCATGCTACATATATTGGAGATCTGCAACATCCTGCTGGCATTTAAATTAATCTAAATAAATCAATAAGATCATTCGCAACAGAATTGTTTCTTGAAACACTTTTAATATTTTACATTCCAGTAGAGACTATAGAAAAAAAAATCCCCGAAATAGTTTTGTTTTGATGTTCTGAGTTCAGAAGATTTGTAAAGATTTTTTTCTTAATTAACCTGAATTTTTTAAAGTCATATAATGACCTTTCATCTAGATCAAAAGACTATGCTGTTAACATATATTGCGTGAAAATTTGGTCTTAATTTTTCTTCATTTTAACTCGAGGATCCGATTCATAATTTGGGAAAAAATATTGAATCAAGGTAATACGTTTTAGATTGATGAATAATAGATTGCATTAATCCCCAGGAACAATTTATGAAGATTTGAATATTCACAATCTGCTTGTTTTTATTTTAATTCTTTGCATTCCCATGTATAACTTCTCTCCAGGGACATTGATTGGAACAAACATCAATACTTATTCGAAAGTACTGATTTTGGTAAAAAAAAAAAAACGTTCATGGTGATATGTTGCTTGTAGTTATACATATTATACATTTCACTCATGAGATGTCAAAGCATGGTCATCGTGGCAATGGCTTCAAATGAAGACCTTTACTCTGCACTCATGGCCATTAATTGAATCATAAGGCTAAATATCTTTTTGCCTTGAACTTTAACTCAATACTTCTTTCAAAGACATCTCCATATGAGTAAAAATTCTCGAAAGGGGACGTTAAACAACAAACGAACTTCTTTCAAAAATCATGCCACGAATGCATTAACTGCAGAATGTTACGTGTAGCCCACTTTTTATAAAATATTGGTCCTCCGGCTTAAAATCAGATGCTAGAAATCAAGTACATGCATGTTTGCTGCCTCAAAGGCAGAACCAATCTTTGCTTGGTTTTTTCTTAAGAAAATGATTAAATGGTGCTTTACTTTCGTATAACTATTTATGAAAATATTGAGAAACGAATTTTTTTCAAGTTAAAAGTCCATATTATAATATACATTACAAATCAAGAGCAAAGCAACTGGTCAGAGCCGCTTTGAGACCACTGTCTAGATAAATTAAGCAAAATAATCCATACGTAAAATTTATAAGCAGAAATGTTATGTGATTTGTTATGGATATATATAAATGAATGAAGTATATGGAAATATCGAACAGTATTCAAGCTCAAACGTCCATTAAACAACATAAAGAGACCTCCAAAACATCAGAGGAGGGATCAAGTGCCATGGGGAAGTGAGCATTCCCATGCCGACCCATCTCACTCGCCGTGTGCTCCTTGTCGTCATCGGAAAATAACGAAAACCTTCGTCGACAATTCAGTGTGCATAAAATAGTCAAACAATTAGAATGAAAAAAGTCAGTCATCATTAGACTTAATGTTTATTATTTATGCTGACAGAGTCATTTTATCTACCAAAGAACTTAAGACTTTAAACTAGACTGTTGATATTCTTGTCTCAGCAATCTGTCAATAATTGACCTCGTTATAGAAATTGTTCATACATAGAGCATGCTCTTGCGTATCGAATGAACTGAAAGATATAAACACCGTATGCAAGTGATGAAGAATATTTTGAAAATTAATTTGAGTAGCGTTGGATCGAGATCATCATTTTGCAAGTTTTACGATCCATACAATTGTATGCAAAAACAACCTATTTTTGAGTCAAATGTTGACTGACATTCTTCCTACTAATTGTTTGACCATAACTTTCACCACTGAATAGTCTACGGATTTTTCTTTTTTTTTTTTTTTTTTTTTTTTTTTTACAGATTTTAATACAAAGTTTTACAATACGAATATACATTTTCTGTATTTTTATGCCCCCGGATCGAAAGATCGGGGGTATATTGTTTTTGTCCTGTCTGTCTGTCTGTCTGTTTGATTGTTTGTTTGTTTGTTTGTTTGTTTGTTTGTCCCCCAACTTTAACCTAGCCCATAACTATTGAGTGGTTGGGGTTATGGCTTTCATAATTCATAGGTATGTTACTTGTGACATGACCTTTCTTTGGGTACCAACAAATTTGACCTCTTGACCTTGACCTTGGAGTTTGACCTACTTTTATTCTATTTGTTATCAACTTTAACCTTCGCCATAACTTTTGAACAGATCGAGATAGAGACTTCATATTTAAAATGCATACTCCACTAAATAAGCACTTTCAACTGACACCAAGGACAATGGCCTTTTGACCTTGACTGTGACCTATATGCTAAAAATAGATTTTTCGAACTTTCGGTATAACTTTTGAACCATGGGAGATAGAGACTTTATATTTGGTATGCCTACTTCACTAATTAAGTGCTTTTAAACGACACCGAGGTCAATGACCTTGTGACCTTGACTGTAACCTTTATGCTAAAAATAACTTTTTCGAACTTTGTTGCCGCCGGGGGCACAGTGTTTCACAAACACATCTTGTTTTATGAGAGAAAGAGAGAGAGAATGGGAAAATAGAGCAAGAGAGAGAGGGGGGGAGAGAGAGAGAGAAGGGATGGTGAGATAACCAAAAATTACATAAACAGATTCTTCCAGGGGGCTCCATGCTTCGTCAAAAGTCAACTGAGTATTGTTCTTATATGCAATGTACAGGGTGTTTCAACAAACATGTCCCGACTTTTGATGTCTATATATTTGCACAATAATAAAATATTTATAAAATTATAACTGTATATTAAAGCTCAATTTCTTGCAATTTCATTGTAATATAAACAATATAAAATAAAGTCAATACATTTTTTTTCTATTGAAGTTTTGATTACATTTTCAAAAATTAGTTTGTGAGTTTTTTCTTCAGAAATGGATCCATGGATTTTTATAAACTAAACACTACAAACAGGAAATCTTCAAAATTATTAATGTTGATGCATAAGATTTTGAGAAAAGTACTCATACGAAAACCATCTTTCTAGGAAACAGACTCTTCATTAAAAATGTCCAAATAAATGTCATAAAGGACTTCAGAGACAAATTGAGGAAGCTGACTGAAAATAGTGTGAATTTTTAGAACACATAAGAATGACGTTAAATTGAAAATTGCTACTGAGGTTCAAACTTTAAAAATGCTTGTATTGAAAATAATTGATTCAGAATTATTTCAACTTTGATATTGATAAAATTGTATAGTTATGCTGTTTTCATTTTTCCAAAAAACATCTTTCATTAATGCTGTCTAACTTTATATTGAAACCGACATGTTTGCTGAAACACCCTGTACTTGTTTGTTTCATACATATATTTGATGGAGGATATCAGTCCATTCAAGGAGAAGTTTTTACCACTACATCTCATTCTATAGATAAAATATTTAATTCGAAGAGCAATGAGATATTTCATTTTGTCTATTTTTGCAAAAGATCCCAATATGAATTCTTTCTTTGAATATACAACATTAATATGAATCTTTCTAAAACAATAATTATCAAAACTATTCAATAAGTCTTGTATTACTTCACATTCCCAGAAGATATATGCAATAGTTTCTGTTTCAGTTTCACAAAAAGAACACCCATATGAACCTATTTTCATAATTTTATGTAAAAAGGAGTTTGTTGCTAATATTTTATGATTAATTCGGAACTGAAACCACTGAATTTTTCTTTTTTTTTCCTCTAGACGGATGTTATCAGTGGGCAGGGAACGCTCACTCCTCGATAGCACCTGATCCTTCCTTTGATGTTTCTGGAGGAATGTGTTTGTTAATTATGCTTCAATTTTGTTTTGTTAAATGGCCTTATGAGCTTAAATACCTATTGCTATTTCCATATACTTATTCATTTACATATATCCATATAAAAAGATAAATCAGTTCTGCTTATAAATTTTACGTATGGATTACTTCGCTTACCTTATCCAGACAGTGGTCGCAAAGCGGTTCTGAACAGCGGACAAAAAATCCTTATTTATCATGACATCTGATTATACCTCTAATGAAACATATGGAGATAAGGAACAGTTTTCAAGATCAAAAGTCCATAAAACAATACAAATCAGGGGCAGAGCCTTTTTCTGTTGATGATTCTTATTTTTTCAGGATTTATTCGGTTATTGTTCGTTATCCCCGTCTCCTTCATTCAAGCAGTAGTTTTAGCTACAAAATGGTAAAAGAAAGTGGATTTATTCAAATAGAAAATATGCTTCTTTGCAAATAAAAAAACAAAAATACGTCTGAATGAGGAAATATTAATGATTTTTGTTACAGATTTAAAGGGGATTAAATCTTAATTTGCAAAATAAGCCGCAGGAAAACAAAACAAAAATCATTCTACAATTACTGCTCTTTTGATCTAATCAGTTTGAATTCTTTTTACATTAAGATTGTGTTCTATTTGAATCTAGCATACTTTTTGCTTTTTAAATTAGTAGATCCACTTTCTTACAAAAGCACGATGATTCATTTTTTCATTCAATTTTAATTTACATTAAAAGTTCTAAATACTATATCATTCTTTATTAATTGCATAAGTGCAGAAAAGTTTCATGAATGTAATAGTTGGCTTTAATATACTGTTCTAGGAATGAATGAAAATTGCATTTTATGAAATGTATTCACTTAATTAAGTTTTTTGGCAAATGCATCAAAAATTCCTTGTTAAATAATTCATTAATTTAGGGAATTGGCAAATACGAGGAGTGATCAAAAAGTTCGCGAACTGTATTAACAAAACCACGATTCAGATTAGAATGAAATTTGGCACACCAATAGTCATGCACATGTTTTATAAATTGCATATGAAAATCAATAATTCTTTCCATCATTGTGACGTCACAATTTGAAAATGACGTCAATATGTAGGTACCTCGTGACGAAAAATGGTTGTCACAGTCTTACTCAAGCAGCGTACGGCTGTTAAGTTTAACGTATAACTTGGAAATTTCTTTGAAGTATCTTACAGTAATTTGTACAAGGTTTATGAAGACAATAGACGTTCCAGACGTTTAATCATAAATTGAATTGATTGCTTTAGTAATGGAATGGATATGGTTAGAAATGACGTTTGTTTTGTAGCCCAACGAAGGCAAGCTGGGGAAGAGATGTGCCTTCTGTTAGGCAATTTGTAATGAAAGATTGGGAAGTTACAGCGAGAAAAATGCTTGAATGTCTTAACAATGTTATTATTATTATATCCCTAAAATATCGTTTAAATTTAAGGTAAGTCACTCGTCAGCTTTTTGGAAAAGTTCACGCATAACTTCTTACTTCAAAACTATTATCAAAATTCAATTTTTATAACATATTTAATTTCAACAATGTTAATGGTTTAACATTCAACGAAAAAAAAAACTGCTCAAAAAGCTACAAAGAAGCAAGATTTGTGAGGGACTATTTTTTGTGGTGGAAGGATATTTAGCAGATAATTATGCAAATCTGCACAGTTATTAAATTTAATATCTTGGAACTTTAGACTCACATACTGTTACTAAGAGAATATTTTCCATTATGATATTGCTAGGAATATTTAATATAGTCTTAATTTATATTAAGAGAACAAGTTTTACACCTTCCTTCAACAAACTTTGCCAAAAAATGAAGATATGTCAAATAAGTCAATATAAAATTTGCACCATTTTTTGCCTGAAAATCAGATATTTTGACCAATATTTCAAAATTGATATCACAGAAATCCACACCTTTTTCTTCCATTATTTTAAAGTACATAATACTTTTGACTGATCAGCACTTAAGTCGTAGAAAGCTTGATTTATTAAATGTTTTATTGCCTATTTAGTTTTTAAATACCCCAAATTATGTTACTTTTTAGTGCAAAAAGGTCACACAATAATTTACGTGCATTAATTTGCAAGATTTTTTCAATGATAAATATTATTCAAAGTATTTTACGTAAATTAAGATCATATTTTTTGCCATGGTTACATCTGATAAAATATAATTAAGATTTAAGTAATTAAGCAAATACATGTACTGAAAATTTTAGTGAGAAAAGGTCAACTTCATTGTACCGTAGATCAGTAAGATGAACACTGACCACCTATTTTCTCTGCGATTTTGAGTCACTCTGTATGAGTACTTATCCGAAATATACTTCTCAGTAAATCCTTGATTTAACAAATTTCGAGTGATATACCTTAACATATTAAATATGATAAAAAGAAGGTCTCCACAACTATATCCATATTGGATAAACGACGTTCCTGTGACAGAGGACTCGTGTTGTGATGGTCACTATGTTATTTCTGGGATAGGATATCCGTATCCAGACATCCTTTTTCCAAGATTTGGTCATTTCTGAAAAATGGGCTTTTTTGTTTTAAAAATCAACTTGCATGGTAAGAAATATAAGACTCGGAAAAATATTTTAGCGTCTATGAACAGAATGCTTCAGAGCAAGTCACGTGACCGCCTGGATCACGTTTTTCGCGCATGGGCAAAACTGTGGCATGTATGCAATAAATCAGAGAGGGCTATTCTAAAAATAATGAACATTGAAACCTTATTTTATTTGTTTTATGGAAGTTATTCAATTTGTTCGCGAACTTTTTGATCACCAGCGTGAATTAATGAACCAGATAATTTTTTTTTTTATTTTGTATCCTGTTCTTGTATTATATACTCAGTATACATGTGCATGTACATGTAGTTCTGACTAGTTTGTACAAAATGTATGTTATAAATGCAAAAAATGTACAAATGCTTGGGTTTTGGTGAATAAACAGAAGTTGAGACATGAATATATACTGTTTCATTTAAAGTTCTTAAATAGATTTTTCTTCAGAATATATATTGTAGTATGCAAGAGAAACAAATATTATAATATTTATGAGGACTTATAATTGAAATGGGATTCAAAATTAACATGTAAAGACAGGATTAATCGTATGTCATTTTGGAAATTACTAGTATTTTGTTTAACGTCCTTATCGAGAATTTTTCACTCATGTGGAGATATCAACACTTGTCGATGGAGAGCTAAAAATTTCGTCCTGTACTCGGCACTCGGGCATTGAGCATTGAGGGATCTGTTTCGTGCCAACTTCTACTGCGAAATGGGACCTCGATTTATACGGTCTCATCCGAAAGACAGGTCTCCACGTCCCACAGTAGGATTCGAACCCGCGACGTAAGGGTCAACTCCTTACTTCACGACTCTAGAGCAGACGCTCTAACCACGATGAAATTTTGTAAAGTAATAAATTCATTTATGAAAAATAAGATAAAACTTTCTAGATTGTGAAAATATCTTAAATATTCAGTACTCTTAATTACTATAAATTAATGTTTAATTACTTTAATAACCCTTTCCCTGTTCTGATTTTATAAATAGAATATGCATTGTATTATTATCGAAGGTCGCACGCCCTTAATTCGCATTGAATTTTCTTATCTTTGTCATACATTGTGCTCTTTACTGGATATTGTGAACAGGATGATTTTCATCTACTTGTATGTTTTCATCTCTCTGTTTGCCTTTTCTCAGGTATGTTGCAAAGAATTTACAATAGAGCCTTTAGAGGAGAAAGTGGCAAATTTGGAAGATCTAACGATGAAGTTGTTGAAAAAGTTGGAAATGGCAGAAAACGATATCCAAAGCTTGACCACTGAAAATGTCCAGATCAGGAAAGAACTGCAGGATACACGCCTACGGCTAGAGATACTGGAAAAACAAGATGAGGCTTCAAAGATTCCATACCCAAAGCTTCTTATGAAAACCTCAAAAGCAAACGAATCTTCTGATGACACAAAAACACAAGACGAGAATCATGACAATACTAGAATGAAGGCTGGTACCGGTAAGTTTTTAAATAGAATATTTCAAAGTGGTTTAAGGTATGTCACTCGTGAAATTTGTTAAATCAAGGAATTTTTAAGAAGTATATCTTGGATAAGTACTCATATAGTGTGACTCAAAATCGCAGAGAAAATAGGGGATCAGTGTGCATCTTACTGATCTACGGTAAAATTAACTTGACCTTTTTGCACTTAAACTTTAACTCTTTGGTAAATTACTTTAACCTTTGTCATAATTTATCAGATGTAACCATGGCAATGAATATAATTTTATTTTACTTAAAATAGTTTGAATGATATTTATCATAAAAAAAATCTTGCAAATTAATGCGCGTAAATTATTGTGTGATCTTTTTGCACTAAAAAGTAACATATTTGGGGTATTAAAACTAAATAGGCAATAAAATCTTTTTCTTAAATCAAGCTTTTTAAGACTTAAGTGCTGATCAGTCACAAGTATCGAGTACTTAAAAATAAGGAAAGAAAAAGTTGGTGTCAGTGATGTTAATTTTGAAATATTTGTCGAAATATTTGATTTCCAGGCAAAAAAAGGTGTAAATCTTTTACTGACTTATTTGACATATCTTCATATTTTGGCAATGTTTGTTGAAGGAAGGTGTAAAACTTGTTCTAAAAATGTAAATTAAGACCTATATAAAATATTCCTAGCAATATCGTAACGGAAAATATTCTCCGAATAAAAGTATGTGAGGCTAAAGTTCCAAAATATTAAATTTAATAAATGTGTAGATTTGCAGAATTATCTGCTAAATATCCTTCCACCACAAGAAATAGTCCTTCATAAATCTTGCTTCTTTGTAGCTTTTTGAGCAGTTTTTTCTTTGAATGTTAAAACATTAACATTGTTGAATTTAAATATGTTATAAAAACAAAAATTAATAAATAGTTTTGAATCAAGAGGATCTGCGTCAACTTTTCTAAAAAGCTGACGAGTGACATACCTTAAATCGTATTTCTGTTAATTTCAGTTTCATAAGAGATGGTCTGTAAAGGTGGAGTAGGTGGAATTCGTAAACACAAGTGTAGTATACATATTTTATAAACATGTAGATGCCCTAATACGTATGCTTAATTTTGTGCAATTGCAATTTACTGAAATGTAATTCATTCAATTGCTGTAAGAAGGACAAGGTTTGAATCATGATAGGACAGGATTCTTTTTTAATATCGAAAAATACAATATATAAAGTTTAATTTTGTTGCTAGGACTTAACAAAAGACTACTGGAAGGGAACATGATCCATACAACAACACCACCACTAACGAAAGGAAGAGTCGGTTTCATGGCAGTCACTACAGATCATCAAACGCATATGGGAGCAAACCAGATTGTCCTCTTCCCTAAAGTCATAGAAAATGTAGGCAGTGGACTTGATCCACATTCTAGCATTTTTAAGGCACCAGTATCCGGACTGTACATTTTCAGTGCTACCATACTTAATCACGCTGGAGAAACAGTTAGATGTGCGATTGTGAAGAATAGTCAGATTATTGCGTATATATTTAGCGGTGACAGTACTACCCACTCATCTGGGTCCAAAACTGCTCTTCTCAGTCTGAACGTTGGTGATGATGTATGGATCAAAATACATGAGGCATTCTCTGATGTGCATGTTCATGGATATGCCTGGTCTTCATTTATGGGAGTTCTTGTATCCTAAATAAAATTCTCTTAGATTTACGTTTGGCTTATGTTTGTCGCAATTTTTTTTTTTTTTTTTTTTTTTGCAATTAGAATTTATAACGGTTTTAATAGTCACCATTAGTAACCACTTATTATTTACTACATCAGTGTCTTTTAAATGACAGTGCACATATTTTACGCTGAGTACTCTACAAAAATTTTCTTTGCTGAATTTTGAAGATGTTGAACCGACCACGGACGCCTAGTTGTTTGGCGTCCATTTCATGATCGGGAGGTTGGGGTTGGATTCTCTTACGCTGTGTCGCTTCAAATCTAAGATGTAACCATATCAAATGACTGTTCCTCACTTATATGTTGTTTTGAATCAAAGAACCCTGTAGATTAAAATCATATTTCGGTATTTTACCCCCTAAAAGGGAAACAACTCATACATATATGCGACGTAGATATAACAAAGAAGGAAAAACAATTTCAGTTTGGTGTAGTTTAAATTATGTGTGCAAAAAGCTGAAACGCATCAATCGATTTGATAAAAATATTATATACAGTAATTATATATTGTATTTGATAAGGTCAATCCATAGATATATCGACTTCACAGAAAAGCATATCGACCGAGCACGAAGTCGATATATCATTTGTTATAATTATTTTTTACGGAGATTGACAATATTTGTTTTTATCTCATATCTTTTGTTATACATATACGCCACAAGAACGTATACGTCAAAAACGTATCAATCCACGTGAAACTATTAAAAAATGAAGACTTTTTTGAAAGCTTAACTGTTCAATTTAGATTAATGATGGAAAATTAAATAGAAATGAATATTTTTCATAGCTTTTCAAGTTACACTGGTAAACTGTTGTTTAGGGCAGTTCACGTTTTTTTAGAGTGCGATTTATTTAAAATAAAATATTTTGATTTTCATTTATATAGGATAACGCGCTGTCAGTTAAACAAAATACGAGTGATCAAAAAGTTCGCAGACTCTCTCTATAATTACAAAACCACAATTCAGATCAGATTGAAATTTTTTACACTTATAGTCACTCGCATGTTCTATAAATAGCCTCTTTTATTTTTATGTTTTACTCCATGTTGGGACGTCAAAGGTGAAAATGACGTCAATATGTAGATCACTTGTGACAAAAATGGTTGATTCAGTCGTATGCCTGCAAAGAATGGCAGTATAGTTTTATGTATATCTTGGAAATTCTTTTGCAATAGTTTATATTAATTAATTAGTACACGGTTTATGTAGACTTAAGATTTGCCATAAATTCAACCATTAATTGTATCGATTGCTTTAGTAAATAATATATAAATATTACATGTAGTTGAGTGTAACATTGTAAATTTTCACCCCAAGAAAACCATTGTCAACCGAGGCGCAGCCGAGGTTGACAATGATTTTCGAGGGGTGAAAATTTTCAATGTTACACTCAACTACATGCAATATTTATTATTTATACTGAATGTTTTATACAAATACGTAAATTCTGCACAGTCGCTATTTTTTGGAATATCACCCGTCGTCAAGCAGTGTTGACTGTTGCTACGCTAGAGGGCGTGGCTTCATTATTCAGCAGGTAATAGTATTTTTTAACAAATGTTTCTCGACCAATCAGATTCAACTAATTTACATGAAAGTATAATATTGGTAAATGTTTAAATCTTATGTTAATTCTATTGCCCTGTGAAAGCAAGCTGGGGAAGGGATATGTCTTTTATCGCCAATTTACAGTTAGAAAAATAGTTGAATATCTTAACAAGGAATATAACTATTAATTCCTAAAATATCGTTTACTTTAGACTTTTAAAAAAATAGATTAGCATGATAAAAAGGAGGAGCCCATACTTTATTCACATTGTGTAAATGACTCTCCCAAGTCATATCTAGGACTCGAGATGTGAGGGTTATCATACACATTCTTGGAAAGGATATCCTTATCCTCCAATATTATTGCCGAGATTTGACCAATTCTGACAAATGCACTGTTCTCTTAATACAAAAATAACGCATTTAAAGAAATATTAGGCTCGAAAAATCTTTTAGCTTCTGTGACAGTACACTACAGAACATGTCACGTGACCACCTAGATCACGTGATTCGCTAATGTGCAGAACGCAGGATGATACCTTCCAAATAAAATGAAGACGAAAACTTTGAAAATTTCAATCTTTCAAAGTTTACTATTTTCCTCCGTTAAAGTAAACTTCCCTTAACCAAATTTATACCGCATACAGTGGGAAACTCTAAAATTCATAACTTAAATGAATTATTTTCGATGCCATATAACATTGCACAAGAGAATATACTGTTCTTCGTATCATTAAAGGTCAAAACGTCTAGTAGCCTAGTTTTATATTCTTATCTTTTTTGTCATTCTACATTTGGTGATCATAACGTGCAGAATGATAGTTCAATACGTAATAGGTTTTTGTTTATTTTTTGCCTTCTCTCATGGACTTTCCAAAGACGAAAACAAAATGGTAATTCTTGAGAAAAGGGTTAAAGATCTTGAAGACCTAGCAACAAAACTTCTCAGAAAAGTAGACCTTGCTGAGAGAAATATCCAAAGCTTGTTATCCGAGAATATTCAGATCAAGAAAGAATTGAAGTACACAAGTGACCAGGTACAGGACTTAGAAAACCAAACCATTCCGATGACTGACTGGTCTTCTTCACCTAGATATACAGGATATGGTAGCATTAAGTCCTTACAGAACATGAAAAATCTTGGACAAAATCACAAAAATCACAGTGAAAAAGGTGAGTATTTTGAAATAAAATAATTGGAAGATATTTATTGCTTCCTATTTTTCATCATGTTCCTTTAATGGCGAAATGTGTATGTAGAGATTCACAAATATTTTATTCTTCTCCATGTTCTAAGAGATCTAATTTTGATTAAATTGTTTCTTCATTCAGATAAGTTCTAAACATTTTAAGTTGAACTGCTCAACTAACGCTGTTGTTATCAGGGTAGATTGTATATTATAAAACATTTTTGATTTCAGGAAGGCATTTAAGGCAGCTTGAATTTCATCAATTTCAGCAGTACACCCACTCCATCATGACCAAACAGCGAATCGGCTTCACTGCAGTAACAACAGACCATCAAACACATATGGGAATAAATCAGTCAATTCTCTTCCTAAATGTTATAGAAAATGTAGGTAACGGACTGGATCCCTTCACAAGCGTCTTCAAAGCTCCCGTTTCTGGTCTTTATATCTTCAGTGTCTCTCTTGTTAATCATCCAGGTCTCGAAGTGAGAGCTTCAATTGTGAAGAATGGAAATCCAGTTGTTAGAATATTTAGTGGTGATAGTACCACTTATGCAAGTGGTACCAGTACAATTGTATTGGATCTGTCCATTAATGACGATGTTTGGGTAAGAATTACCGATGCATCGGACATAAATATAAATGGGGGTGCTTGGTCATCATTTACGGGAGTTCTTGTTTCATGAGTTGTTAATGTTTTTTAACATCCACTCTTCCCAAGACTAACAAGAATAAAAAGATAAATCTGGACTTTCCACTTACTTGCTGTTTTGTTGCTATTATTGATGCATAAAAACTAGATATTTCTTAGAAATTTGTAGGACGACAAAAAATTTTATTGCAATTTCAAGCAATATGAGATGCATTTTTGAAAAAAAAAATTTGCTGTTAAAATGACTTTGTGTTATTATGATTAATTTCTATGTTATTTAAACCCTTATGATTAATAAAACCAAAATAAAATTTTAAATTTTTTCAGGAGATATATTTCTGTACAGTCGAATATATAGCGTTATATAATAAATCAATATTGTATATGACGACAATAATATAAATTTGCTTATATAACAGCTTATAAAAAGTTCTTCCATCGCAAATATGAACAACAGAAGTTTATAAATGTACTTAATCTGTCATTGAAATAGTTGATTACAAATCTGCAACAAACTTGCAGCTCAAATGTTAACTGTATTTGTAGAAAAGTCAAATAAAGGTAGAAAGCACAACTGTTCATTTAACAAAGCAGATAGATTGTCATAGAAAAAATGGAAGCCAATATATGAAACTGTCAAAATCTTTTGTGTCAATTCAAGTTTGATTTAGATTAAAAATACCAAAAGGGTAAAAATCCCGTTTTACTTTATTCTATATAGTGTTCATTTAACAAAGCAGATATTACACTATATATAGTTTTTACTTACAACAGTAACTGATACAAACTTGAGAAAAGAGATTGATGTTTTAGTTTGAAGATCAAACAATAAACATATGACAAACAAAGAAGAGCTAGTAACCCCTGGGGATTTTGTTACATTAAAAGTTTAAATCTCACTGTAAAGGTAAAATTCAGGTATAACTTTTTAAATTGATTTAAAATTTTAATGTTACAATAATATTTGACTGGGTTATATAAATGAAGTATATTTCAACAGTGAATCATTCCGTCTAAACATGCTAAAGGAAAATCAAAGGTAAATTACCTTCATGATCCTATAATGTATTAGTACTGGATGATACAAATGCCTGCCTTGTTTTCCAAGAAGTATATGAAGAAAACGTACAGTATTCAATCTCTCAAAGTCCATAAAACAATACAAAATAGGAGCAGAGAGAGAACACGGACCTCCGAAATATCAGAGATGGGATCAGGTGCCATGGAGGAGTGAGCATCCCCTGCTGACCGTTCACACCCGTCGTGTGCTCCTTGCCATGATCGGAAAATAACGGGAAAATCCGTCGTCAATTTAGTGTATAAATAATGGACTAACAAATGGTATGAAAAACGTCAGTCAGCATTTGACTCAATGATAAACTGTATTTGCTGACAAGGTCATTGTATCGACCATAGAACTTACGAAATGATGACTTTAAACGAGACTTAAGAGAACGAGAATTAAGTTTCAGTGTTCGTTATTTTTTAAAGTAGCCTTCTCTGATTTTAATGAATATCTGCCACCCTTCTGTCATTTGCCAATCACGTGATCCAGATGGTCATGTGACATGCTCTGAAGCATTCTGTTCATCGACGTTAAATATTTTTCCGAGCATTATATTTCTTACCATGCAAGTTGATTTTTATAACAAGAACAGTACATTTATCAGAAATGACCAAATTTCGGAAGTAGGATGGTTGGATAAGGATATTCTTTCCCAGAAAGAACATGGTGACCATCACAACCCGAGTCTTCTGTCCCAAGAACGTTAACATCGTTTATCCAATATTGATATATTGTAGTTGTGGGGGCCTTCTTTTTACGCTATATCATATTCAATATGTTAAAAGTCTAAATTATAAGATATGATAGGGATTTAATAATAATGTTATTTGTTACGATATTCAATAATTTTTCTAGCTGTTACTTCGCAATCTTTCATAACAAATTGGCTAACAAAAGACACATCTTATCCCCAGCTTGCTTTCGCTTGGCCATAAAACAAATGTCATTTTTAACCATTTCCCTCTGTTCACTAAAACAATCCAATTTATGATTGAAAGTCTGAAAAGTCTGTTGTCTTCATAAATCTTGTACAAATTATCATAAGATACTTCAAAGGAATTTCCAAGTTATACGTTAAACTTTACAGCCGTTCTTTGCTCAAGTAAGACAGTGACAACCATTTTTTGTCACGAGTCACCTACATATTGACGTCATTTTCACAATGTGATGTCTCGATGATGAAGAAAAATATTACTTTTCATAATTAGGGTATTTATAAAACATGTGCATGAATATAGGTGTGCCATATTTTATTCTAATCTGAATAGTTGTATTGTAAATAAAGAGAGTTCGCGAACCTTTGGAACCCCCCTCCTTTATGCATAGTATTGAAAATATAACCTGTTCTCCAAATGCGCTTCATCAAATATGTGGTTTTTATACTAATAAGGCTTTATTTTATTAATATTTAACAGTCAAAAGACTGATCAACCCTGATCCACATCAAAGCCCTAACGCTAACGTTATTTAAAGTCTAACTCTCACATCCTAACTTGAACTCCAGCTCTAAGTTTAACCCTTTGGCTAACAACTTTGCAACTTATCCCCAAACCTAGCTCTATGTAAATGAAGGCTGCTTTTAGCAAAAGATTGTAATAACAATAGAGTCCATTCTAGTTTACTTATATATAATTAAACTCAAGCAAACTTAAAATACCAGTGCTTTTTCTTAATATCAAAATCACACGAACTCTATTTCAATGAATGATGTTTATCCCCCTAAGTTGTCGTAAGGTCATGATTTTGCATTAATTAAACAGTCAGGTATGACTTTCTAAATCTTGAACTTTTACACATTTTTAAAAGTAGATACTATGTTTCAACAAATATGCTACTAGAGCTGCTAACGTTTGGAAAGCATGACAGGAAACGACCACAAAGTTGTTCAAATTTTTAGTATTAATGTTGAAAGTGATCGCGATTATCAAAGATATGCCTCTCGACGAAAGTCGTCAGTGGTCCGAGAAATATCGGACCGAATTCACTCAGTACTGAACCGAGAAGAAGATTACGTTGACCAGTCAATTAATGGGGTGTTTCGGTTCAAGAATCAGCTAGACGTCAAAGATGTCATCCCTAGCAACGGTCAGTCCTCAGTGGAGGCACACCATTATCAGAGAAGAGGGAGTTCTGTTTTAATTGAGTAAGATTACTTTTCATTATTATAATGGTATTAGGTTAGTCGTCAATCCATCGATTTGCATTAACTCAATGGATGCCTTTAACTTAATTTATTTGTAAGAATCTTGAAAGTAATGTATCAATCATACTTTTTGGATAAAACTAACATTCTATTAAGATTTTTTAGCATAAAATATATACTATTCCAATTTTTTGTTCCATATACCTGTTGCAATTCTCTTCCATTAGTCAAAACGATACATTACCAGGAAAAGACGACCAAAAAGCTAAAGAATTCAGAAAATGGTTCGTGTTTGTGAGCAGTTTTGTAAATATGTTTATAACGGGTGGATTTCCTTTCAATATGTCTGTTCTATTTGTGGAGTTCTTGCAAGCCTTTGGAAGAACCAAGGCGGAGACGTCCTTGGTTCAGTCCGTTTGTACCGGAACTTTTTTTATTGGAGGTAAATGAAATCGTTGCACAAAGGACTGTTAATGAGTAGACATTAGATACAGAAATGTGTATATATTATAATTTTTCAGTAGAAGATAAGTTAAACATACTGCGTACTTAATACATGCTTGCACATAAAGCAGGCTACGATTAATATATATAATTTATATTGTTTATATGTCAGATAGTTACTTCAAAAGGCACATAACATCATTATTCCTACATTCCCTAATAATTATAAGTAAATGTTAAACCCATAAGTACTTTATAATTACAGTGCTTTGGTATTGCAAAATAGCTTAACAAAAAAAAAAATGTAAGAAAATCCAGTTAAAATTACAGACTCGATCAGTACATAAATATGCTTTAACTTTTAAGATCCTTACCTTTTAGCAATATATATATATCGTAATGCCAATAATGCTTTGTTTACTTTTCATATCAAAAATATTTTGATAGTCTATATAACTTAAACTAACTGAAATTAGTTTCGATGAGTAAAATCCCATCTTATTTAAATGATCAAAGAATTTCAAAGTAAACTTACGCATTTTGAATTTCTGCATTCGCAAATAATACTTTTTGGTAGGTTTGGTTACTGGAACCTTAGTTTCCAGATTTGGAACAAGAATCTGTGGATGTTGTGGAGCTTTGCTGTCAGCTGTCGGAATAGGAGTCTGTTTTGTAGCCCCTAATTTAGAATTTTTAATCATCTTCATAGGAGTAATGGCAGGTCAGATATCGAGGTGTTTTAATGATTTCTTAATATACATGTAATTGCAACTTTTCAAGAAAAAACTTTGTTATTTTGAAAATCCTTTCTTCTTTTTTAGGTGCTGGATTTTCTCTAAACGTGATTTGTGCATCAACGAGTATATCTCAAAACTTTTCTCAAAAGGAAAAGGTTATGTTTCTGGCAATAATTTCTATGGGATCAGGCATTGGTGCACTGAGCTTTCCGTTGCTTCTCCAGTATTTTACACATATGTTTGGATGGAGAGGATGTCTTTTGATCGTTTCTGGAATTGTTTTGAACCAGTTGGCTTGCGGGCTTATGTCCGGCCCATCCTCCAGCATAAAAACATCTAAGAGTTCAGCAGATTCTCAGGTTGACCTTGACGTTGAAAACGAGAACAAGGGATCGCAATGTATCTGCCTTTATAGATTTCAAACATTAGCAAAGAACAAGGTGTTCCTAGCATACTGTCTTTCCTTAGCATTTGTGTTGACGTCGTTTAATGCATTTTTGATTTTCTTCGTAGACTATTTTGAACAGAAAGGTTTCGATAGAACCTCTGTAGTATGGCTATATTCTGGGATGAACATCATAAGTTCACTCTTCCGTTTTATTCCTGGGTTAATGGCCCAGAGCCCAACACTTCCAAAACTAGCCATACCAGCAATATTTTCAGCATGTGGGTCTGTCGCGCTTGCCATTCTTCCTCTGATGGATACTTATGTACTGAACGCCATTGTTGTTGCGTGTTACGGCGCAGCACTTGGAGGAGTGGTGACGGTGATATCAATTACGACTTTACATCTCGTTGGTGACGAGAATTACCCGACTGGATACGGAATGGTTCTAGCTGTTAACGGTATCGCTAACACCATTGGTGCTCCAGTGTCAGGTAAAATTATGTCTTTTTAAGTTATCTGTTAAGTTTTCCGTTATTTCCTGATCATGACAAGGAGAACACGACGGGTGTGTCAAGTCAACAGGGGATGCTCACTCCGCCATGGCACCTGATCCCACCTCCGATGTTTTGGAGGTCCGTGTTTGTCGATCTTTCTCTCTGTGAATGTGTACTTAAAAGTTTTCATTTGGTCTAAGATGTTTCAATCTTGGCTAGCATTTTCAACAACTAATTATGGCAAGCCCTTTTACTATTTATTCGTGAAATAAAAAAATTCTTTCAATAAGAGAGATATCTCTCTAACATAAAGAGATATCTCTTTAGTTTATAGTGATATCTCTTTATCTAAAAGAGATATCTTTATACCTTACAGAGATATCTCTTTAAACAAAAGAGATATCTCTTTTTGTAAGAGAGATATCTCTTTCACTTAGAGAGATATCTTTATAAGCTAGAGAGATATCTCTTTAAGCGAGAGAGATATCTCTTCAAGTTAGAGAGATATCTCTTTAACAAGGTTAAAAGAGATATCTTTCTTAGTTAAAGAGATATCTCTTTAGATTTTTAAAAAGAGATATCTTTATGAGCTTCAGAGATATCTCTTTTAATGAAAGACAAATCTCTTTTCCAGTGATGCTTAAAATAGAATAATTAATTCTCCACCTTAAAACGAAAGCGAAACAGGAAGTAAAGTCTCTTAAATAGTTTCTATGTTATAAGAAAAAAAAGACTAAGCAAGGAGTTACCCTGAATAATACATGCACTGTGTAGACAAAAATGCTATAAATCCCTTTTGATAAAAAAAAAACCCCAAAAAATAATAGTGGCAACTTCGTTGATAAAAATGCGTAAAGTTTAATATTCACGAAAACGAAAGTAAGCATATGCAAGGGATCGAATTTTCTCAGCTTATGAAATAATAAACTATACTTCCGTCAATAAAAAGTTTACTTCCGGTAAAGGGCGAAGTCATTTGAAATGGAATTTAAATAAAAAATATGTATAGAGATATCTCTTTGCGACAAAGAAATATCTCTTAAAGTGAAAGAGATATCTCTTTAAGACACTTTTGAAAGATATCTCTTTCACTTTAAGAGATATCTCTTAAGATAAACTAAGAGAGATATCTCTTTTACTTTAAGAGATATCTCTTTATCCTTGAGAGATATCTCCAAAAGTAAAAGAGATATCTCTTTCACGTTAATAGATATCTCTTTTCACGAAAGAGATATCTGTCAAGGAGAAAAGGATATCTTTTCAAGTGGAAGAGATATCTCTCTAATAAAAAAGAGATATCTCTCTAAGTATTAGAGATATCTCTCTAAGTTTAAGAGATATCTCTTTCTCATAGAGATATCTCTTCAAAATGAGAGATATCTCTTTAAGTTGAGAGATATCTCTATTTTTAAAGAGATATCTCTCTAAAATGAGAGATATCTCTGTAATTTTAAGTTAAATTTTATTTTCCGAATAAATAGCAAAAGGGCTTGCCATAACTAATGCCATTTTAAAGTATTAACGCCAAAGAAGACGTATTTATCTGTTTGTCCATAATTCATATAACAATTTGAACCAGTTTGGAAATGTATTCCTTTGTCTTCCCGAGAGCAAGATAATAGATATATTTGTATACTACATCTACCTGAGCCTTATCGAGTATATTATGCAGTGACTGTAATAGAACAGACAATTATATAAATCAAAAAAAAAAAAAAAACTTTAGCGTTGATGCAACGCCAACTGTTAGTGTCAAAATTCACCGGTAGTGTTTAATTTTCCCATGCTGATGATGTTATAAACAGAATTTAAATAACCAACAGCTAATGATAGTTGCAGAACTAACCTTATGGGTTTGACTAATAGGTTAAATGACATATTTATAAATTTCAATTAAAAACACGAATAAATCAATGATAGGAGTTATAATAAGGACTGTTCAATATGAGGGAAAATCAAACGTGGACTATTTGCACCGTGTCTCTCCCCCTAGGTTCCTGTTGATAGAGAACTGGGTGTCTCCCATCTTCTTCCGTTACTACACCCAGAACTAAACATCAATTCCTTAGGATTATATACTTGCCACGAGTGTTTCTATTCCATTTTTACCCTTACTACTTAAAGCTGAACACTGCTCGTAAAAAGGCATAGTCCGCCATATTTCCCGTTCTACAACGCTCTCCCTACAACCCCTATATAAGGAGCAGATCGCTTAATAAATATCAGTTCAATGTATTTCGCTGTAAAGATCCGACGAGTGTATAGACGTACAACTTACACTGTCGTGCTACTTGCTCTCGATGAAATTATCAAATTTTACTCAATTTTTCCAAAACAGGACAAAACTATCATGAAAATACAGGTCAATACAGTATTTACAAACAGAAAATGCACATAAAAACAAGGAATAAAGCAAAAAATCTAAGACCACGAAATGAGTACTATATGTCGGCTATGAGATTCGAGTGTGCAATCGGTTGTAAATTACAGAAGCTAGTCGAAGAAACCGAAGCCGAGAGAAAAAAAAATTGTAGGATTAAAGCTGAACACTTTCGTCAGATGGGTTTCTAAACCGTTCGATTGCTAACGAAATCGAACGGTTTATATACCCGTCTGACGAAATTGTTCAGCTTTAATCCTACAATTTTTTTCTCTCGGCTTCTATTTCTTCGACTAGCTTCTGAATGCATGACTTTCCCAAAACTTCGCTTTATATATCTTTGGGCTAGTCTATGCCAAGGGTAGTCAGGCCATTCCTTTATGTAAGGTCTTCTTTATGCGTTTTTAAAAATTCCACTTTTACCACTATAAATTTAATTGATTACTCAGTAAATACTGTTTCAACACTGTATGATCATACATTTACATGTACCAAAGTGTGTTTTTAATACCACATTCCTTAGAACTAAAGAATAAAAAATGTTTTCGTAAAATCGAAATTGTAACGAAATTTAATTGCTAAAGTCCCCCAATACCCTATGAACTTTCACCAGAGGTGTCTTTGCTGTAGACAGTGAAACCAGATGTAACAGGTACGTGTGATACATGTAATGTACGTTTATACGGTTTATAAATTATTGTGTGACATATGCAAAGTACTTGTATCATTTAGATTACTCGACTAATGGATATAGTATATTTAGAACGTGTAGAACAATGTAGAATGTCCTAGAAAATAGTTACTGTATGTTATGAAACGAGCATCTAAAAAAGAAAGGTAGGGGGGAAACAATGGAGAGATTATAAATAAAACATTTTTTCTATTGTTTTGGTAGAAAAAAAAAACATTTGTCATGCTGAATTAAGATGTTTGTTAGCTGAACAATAGGATTTGAAGCTTTTTTTCGAGAGAACAATTGCAACTCGTTACAACAAAGTGTCATTCACGGACATGGCCATGACTTGATTTACCTCTCCTCTTGGATGATGTCTGATATAAAGCACCCTTGCTATTTAATGAGTTACGCTCCATCACCTGATGTCCTGAGAATCAACCCCCAGCAACAGTTATGTGCATTAACGAGTAGTTTTATGCTTGATCATAGTATATCTCTCACAGCTAGATACGACAGAATTCTACAAAATACGTATGATTCTTGAATTTTACAAAATTTCAATGTTGTCAAGTCTAAACTTTGAAAGGGAGGGAGATTTGGAAAAGAATTTGTTCTTTTGATTTCTTAAAACACTTTACAGCCTCTTTAACTGGAACAATTGTGACTTTATATTTACATTGTACATAACGGTCTTTCATTATTAATTTAATGGCCAAAAGTGTGTATTTTTGTTATTAATCCGTGGCCGACAATAGCATGATAACGAAGGCAGAAGATGTATTGGATTTTATACCTTAAATGCAGAGCATTAAAACAAAAAAAATCAAAGAGATTAAATTATGAGTGATGCTAATGAAATTTGCATTATGCTATTTGCTGTATGATCAGGACAACAATGAGTGGAGCTACTAATATATAGGGTTTTTTTTAATTACTTAATACGAAACATTTTTTCTGATAATTTTGCACAGATTATTACTTGAGACATCACTTTTAATAAAATATTAATTTGTGTAAATGGCTTTTCTAGATATTTCTGATATTTTCACTATTTTAACAGGGTATTTTCGAGACATCTCTGGGTCTTACAACTACGGAATATTGTCGGGTGCTGGAAGTTCCTTCTTGGCTAGCATAATATTCACCTTGGCCGCAATATACCATAAGCGGCATGGCGTTGATCCCATGTCCAAATTCAACATGGAGATAGACGTCCAGGCGCGCCGGAAATCACGACGACGATCCAGTATCCTACCCTGGAGGAGAAGTGTTGACTTTGGATTTGCTTTGTGAACACAAGAAAGGATGCAAAGGGTTTAAGGTTCATCGATACGATGATAAGAGAGATAACACTTAATGGCATAAATTCTCTAATTCCTTTATAAATCTGTCAAGTTTCTTTTTTTATCCGTTTTGTTCAGCAAGCTATGCTATAATTGTTAGTAATTTACTTATCAAATACAGGTACATCTATTAATAATTTGGAAAATCATAAGAGGTGAAAGAAACATTTTATATGAGTGAGCAGATGGTTTACATGTATATGTAGTTTAAATCGGGAAAGGTGAAGCTGAAAAGAGAAATAAATTCTGCAAAGCGAAAATTGTATTAGCTAATAATAGTGTAAATTCTTCTCAGGTATTGATATTTTGGTATACATATTCATGTGTAGAATCAACAGACATTTTGCATCCATGAGTGAAATAAATAAATAAGTAATCAAGCACGATACATTAATAATTAATAGAACATAGTCTCAAATGATACATAGTTTCATTAATGGAAAGCTATTTCATCCAACAATTACGGTGGTATATTTAGGACACGCATTTATTTTTTTTTAAATACCAGAAAAAAATTATCTTGTGAAAACGACATAATTATCTTGTGAAAACGAGATAGTATCTTGTGAAAACGACATAATATAATAAGTCGTTTTCACAAGATATTATCTCGTTTTCACTAGATAATATCTCGTTTTCACAAGATAATAAGTCATTTTCACAAGATAATATCTCGTTTTCACAAGATAATTTCTCGTTTTCACAAGAAAATTTCTCGTTTTCACAAGATATTATCTCGTTTTCACAAGATAATATCTCGTTTTCACAAGATAATAAGTCGTTTTCACAAGATAATATCTCGTTTTCACAAGATAATTATGTCGTTTTCACAAGATAATATCTCGTTTTCACAAGATATTATCTCGTTTTCACAAGATAATATCTCGTTTTCACAAAATAATATCTCGTTTTCACAAGATAATATCTCGTTTTCACAAGATATTATCTCGTTTTCACAAGTTTTCACAAGATATTATCTCGTTTTCACAAGATAATATCTCGTTTTCACAAGATAATATCTCGTTTTCACAAGATAATATCTCGTTTTCACAAGATATTATCTCGTTTTCACAAGATAATATCTCGTTTTCACAAGATAATAAGTCGTTTTCACAAGATAATATCTCGTTTTCACAAGATAATTATGTCGTTTTCACAAGATAATATCTCGTTTTCACAAGATGATATCTCGTTTTCACAAGATATTATCTCGTTTTCACAAGATAATATCTCGTTTTCACAAGATAATAAGTCGTTTTCACAAGATAATATCTCGTTTTCACAAGATAATTATGTCGTTTTCACAAGATAATTTTTTTTTCTGGTATTTAAAAAAAAAATAAATGCGTGTCCTAAATATACCACCGTAAACAATTGATATATTCCAAATATTATTTATTTTGGACAAGTGAATATTAGACCATTGAAAATGCATTATTCATATTTCATTTGAAATATAAAATTGTCTGCAAATATACAGGATTTAATATTGATCAATCACTTGGTTAGAAATGGCGTTTTCATCAGAACATTTTAGCTTTCTGCATGAGTGGCTTCGCTTAAGAACAAGAAAACTGTGTGAAATATATAATTCCTTCCTAAAAGTCAGTGCTTCTCGTGTATATTTGTGTTTTTAATAATGTATTTACAGGTATGCTTAGTATACCTAAAATTCTTTACAATTCATGGGAATGAAACAGTTGGAATGGAGGGGTACGATCATGTGATTTTTTTTCAGGTTAATAATTAGCAATTTAAGTTATTTCAGAGGGGATAACTATGCATAATATTTTGACCAAAAAAAAAAAAAACGGAACAAAATTATTAACGCTCTTTTGCAACAAAACCATCAGTTAAACCTTAGCAAGTGATAAACTCATATATTAAAGGTGTGTTTCGTTAATTCGATAATAATTTATAGTATTTGACGTTAGTTATGTTCTATTTCTGTAATATAAAATATATACAATTTCTCCAATAATTTTATTTTATATGAAAAAAAATAAATAGTATAAGAGATCCAACAAATGATATGCTTGTACAATTGATGTAAGTGCACTTGATTTTTACAGTGCACTCAACATCATCAGAGATCGGGGAACTATAATATTGTAACATTAAAAAAAATATATAACAGCAAATTTTTCTATAACACAGATTCGGAACGAATTCATAATTAAGAATTGGCAATTCCATAGAAATTATCAAGATCTTTTAGGAAAATAGAGGAAGCATTGCCTTTTCCTTTAACAATAAATTGAACACGTGTTACAGACAAAAAAGTCTCCTCTTATGCAAAGATATCGAGTACAAGTATATTGGTCCTTCCTTTATCTGTATGTACGTACGTTACGTTGAAACGTACGTCTGAACGTCTCACGGAGTGTTGATTTGATCCTTTTGCTGAGAAATGCACCATCATATACTTCATATTCCACCTCATTTTTGTGCATGTGTATTATTCCTGTAAGTTTCAAACTGTAAGCTCAGCGTCACTTGATCGGATCACGTTGGCGTCGATAGACAAGATTTTTCACGGGTGTGACTGCCCTTGTGCAGAAATCTCGTCACCGCCGCTTCGTAGTATTATTTGATGAGGACAGCAAAGACTGGTCCGATTTATAGGTTTCTGTGTCAATGGAACAAGATGCACATAAAATTGATAATACGTTACTGTTAGTGAAAGCCAACGCTATATATACCAGTACTAACCAATTATTTTGTATAAAATAAAATAAATTGCGAGGTATGTCAGAGAGACAATTTCAACTTGATATAAGTAACAACAGACAATAAAATGAAAGACATGCTTGGTTGAATCGTTCCAGGATACGCCTATACGATTCAAACTTAAAATGATCTTATCAACTTGTTATAATTACCAGCCAGAAGAATGATTGAGCAAGCTATTCCCACCATCATCAGTAGAAAGACTGTCCAGAATACAAGTTTTCCAGCGCTTTGAGGTAGTTTGGTTTTCTCGCCGACCAAAATGGCCTTGTATAAATTTCCTTGTCCGTATGGATGAACATATCTTCCATTTAGGGGCTGTCTCAGAACGTGTTCCACTATGTCAGTAAAGTGGTGATCCTCCGCCAATCCGTCGTCAGGCTCAAAAGCGGGATTCGAAAAATCCTGTGACGACTTGAAAATAGAGAAAAAGAAAATGCATGTTTTGGTTTACATATGTAATTACATGTTGTTCAACAAATACTTTCTTTACGATATGATAAAACAATTCAAACACTTTTGATTGGTTGATTGATTTATGTTGTTTAACATCCCATTCGAGAATTTTTTCACTCATGAAGAGACGTAAACATATATTCCAGTGAAGGGTTGCATGTAAATTTTGACTTTTACTTGGAAGTCATGGCCATAGAGCAGTGAGGTATCTATCGTGCCAACGCAAGCCGCGACACGAGACCTCGGTTTTTAAGGTCTCATCCGAAGGACCCGCAACTTTCACTTCACGTGCCGAGCGCATGGCGAATGAACAGTTTCTATCCATTCTGTGTGACCTAGGTCACTCGCGGCCGAGACTCGAATTCAAGACCTCCCGATCAAGGAGCCAGTGCTCTACTGACTGACTTACCATGAACGGTAGGGGGTCGTATCCCAAGGTTGGATGTGGAGACCGCGGTTCTTCGGATGAGACCATATAATACATGTACGTAGGTCTCTTGTAGCAGTAGTTACCGGCACGAAAAAGACTCCTCACTGCCGAACATACTCAACTCTCCACCTGCTAACGAGGGCGTCTCCATATTAGAGAAATATTTTCGAGAGAGACGTTAAAAATAAACAAACAAAAATACTTCTTAATAATAAAAATAAATCTCTTAAAGTGGCCTTCAACTGGACTTTGCTAGAGAGACTAGTATATTGAGTTTGCATTATCTATCAACAATTGCTACTAAGTGTATTACTAGTATTCAAATGTCGATTCGTTATATCCCAGTCAACTAGAAGTTAAAGGCACCATAGCCTCTGCCACATCTGTTTCATATTTGGGTGTTTGACTGGTTGTAGACGTAACATTAAACTAAACACTAAATTGGTTGACAACCGCAATGAGTTTAACTTTTCAATCGTCAACTTTCCTTATTTATGTTGCAATATCCCGCTATCACCAGCCTTTGGTGTTTACATCCACTACATCATTTGATAAACAAGAGCATGCTCCGAGTAGGATCAGTTTTAACCCGAGACCAGCTACTGACAGATAAGTTGATGTTACAGGGATTTTAACAACCTACGTTAGAGTCAGCATTTCTTAATTTCTTTCGTAATTATACTTGTCTAGTATAAGCCATGTCAACAAATATAAGGTCGACTTTTAGCAAACATTCTAATACCAACTAGAGGTACTGTGATAAATGAGCTCACTAAATGATACCCCCCGCCTCCCATATAAATATAATGGCAGTGTCCATGTTTTGCTCTGGAAAATCCAAAATATATGTCAGATCAAAAAGTAAAATAGAAAGTGCACAATGGCAATATGTAATAAAGATTCTATGAAAGTTTCATTAAATTTCCTTCAGTGGTATGAGAGGAGTTGCGGATAAGAGATGGGTACCCCAAAGCGTAACAGACGGATGGACGGACGGACGGACGGACGGACGGACGGACGGACATACCGATTACTATATACCCTCCCGCTTTTCAAACAGGGGGTATAATGACTTATTAGGCCTTTGTTTTATCGACTGATTTGACTACGGGATGTCTGTTTGATTAATACATAGGGCTCACGGCGGGTGTGACCTGTCAAAAGGGATTGCTTTATCCTCCTAAGCACTTCACCCCACCTCTAGCTAGCATTTCCAGTGATCCGTGTTGATCCCTCTTTACATTATTTTATTGTTTGTAGATTTTTTTAGATCAATCTCTGTTCGTTATCTTCACCTTTTTCACTGTAAAGAGTTCTTAAATTCAAAATACAATGTACATTTATGTAAAAGATTGGACAAGACCACTATAATACGGCAATTCCATAGTAAAATTTGATCAGGAACTAGAAAACGATGATAAATAAGGAAATCAAAGCACTGGATAAAAAGTACAACGGAAATTCCCTTTGAGACTGTGCTTTTCATCCTCTAATGAAAAATCTATAATAAAATCATCCATTACGGATCGATTTTGAGAGAATAACTTTTTTTTCGGAACAACACCGAATATTTCTCTGATTGTTTTTATTACTATTAGAAATTTACATGAAAATGAATTCACTGACATCAAAGATTTTTCTGCCAAATATAGAGATGAAATTAAACGGAAGTTCTTTATTTTCTTAAACCCGTAATGCCTTGGGCCTCGGGCACTTCAATTAGCAAATACGATGTTATTGTAACGAAGAGCGACAAACCATTAATGAGGAAGGATACGGTGATGAAGTCAGTAATTCCTCTCTCTCTCTCTCTCTCTCTTGTCTCTCTCTCTCTCTGATCACTTCTTTCATACAGTTTACTGCTTTCAATACAGTTTAAATATATGCATATGTCTTTTTAAGCTTTTAATATACATTCTCTCCGTGATTCTTTAAAGAAAAAATTCTACGGGTATAATCATTTGAATTTATTTATCAGAAAATCATGAGATAATTAAAAAAAATTCTAATCTGAAGAACCTTTAGCTAGATGTTATGCATGTATTTAAGAAAGCCTTAAAATCACTTTAAATTTCCCTTTTAGAGGACATTTTATCAGTAATGATACACATTTGAAAATACAAATCAACAGTAAAATTGCAATCAAAGAAGCCTAGATTAAAGTACTATATGACATTTGGGCTCTTTGAGGAAGGAGAGCATATATACATTGTATATTGACATTCAACATGGAATTACTATGGTTTAAAACTAATTTAAATTATTTTTTTTCTTTTTAATTTGGATGGAATGAAAAGTTTACTGAAAGATGACAGCAAGATATTCTATCTCAACCGCGTTCAATACTCTCTGAATATGGTATATATCTGATAAAAACAAAACAATTTTGACTTACCACAATTTTGAAATTATCCCGCATTTTATAATTGAAATGTACCTTTATCTGAGTCTCAAGACAAGGCCCCACATCTGTAACTAACAGACTATTTTATAAAAGAAAGCAAAAGCAACGCGGATATTATTTCTTTGAAGCAAATGGTGTCGACAGCTGCAAAATGTTCAGAACGAAACAAAGGCCATTAAATAGAAAACCCATTTTATTAATTCATTTTAGAATTTGACAGATTTGAAATCCATTTCTAAGCCGAGATGTTGTTAATGTCGAAACGATAAAAAAGTTAATCATGCATAGCAATAGACGAACGACTTTTGGTGATACCAAACGCATGAATATCCAACACGTTAGTTTTATTATGGATAAGATGTTACAATGGTCTTTAAAATACAATTTAAGACCCAGTCTTGGAACTTAGCACGCGACCTGTTACTGAAGCCTAGGAAAATACACAGGTGTTGGTAAAGCTTCTATCGCTATAATACAGAGTTTGTCAATGAAAGTTTTCAAAAATCAATAAGATTTAATCCAATTTTTGCATTCTTGTTTTGTGCTAATTTCAAAAGGTCTAGCAATTCCTATTTCTTTTTAGTCATGGTGTACATGTCAATGAAGTTTTCTCTTTTCTTGCATAACATTAAAAATCATTTATTGAAAACCAAAAATATGTTTAATTTACAAGTATTGCACCGACGTAATTGAAAGGAACATATTTTGAAAAATGAATTATATTACTACAGTGTCTTTAAAATGATTAATTAAAATCAAGTTTTTGAATGATTCAACTTATCAACGGGACTTAAAGAAAAGCAAAAATAAAACACTGAATCAGAACAGAACTAAGGGGGAAACAAAAATGAAACAATGCTAATTAAAACAACGCTTAAATGCATAATACTGATATACTATATTCATCAATCTACGGTAGGATTCATGACTAATTGTAACAGCTGTTTTTGGTTGACAAGACAATTATAACTAATTACAAAATCATTATTTTAAGTCAGACAAACAAAAAATAGTGAACCAGATGTTCTAGAAATGAACAATTTGTAACATTTCATAATAAGGTTTGAACTTTCGATGTTATTGTCTATACTTGCTCAACTGTTTGTAGCTTAAGAAAAAGAGCATTTCTGTCTTATTTTATATTAAGAGCAGTACCGTTTACAGTTTGAAATGGGTAGCCATGTAATTTGGACAAAAAGTCGTAGCCTAAAATTTCTAGTATTTACAGGGCCGGGTCAAAATTTCAAATTATGTACAGTGGTTGAAAAAAGGGTGGGGAGACGGTGATACATTTTGTTTAGTACATATTACATGCATCGCGCATTTTATTTTTCTTGTCACAAGTTTGACATATCGAATGAGAATCATTTTTTCCATGCATCGCGCATTTTATTTTTCTTGTCACAAGTTTGACATATCGAATGAGAATCATTTTTTCTAGTAACCCAGATTTTACCTCAGATCTTTACATATATTCTTCATTTTTCACTTTTAATTCTTATTTGCTGGTGTTGTGAAAGAAAGTATGGTTCTTATTCAGATTCAGATGATTTAGATTACATGTATTATAATTATAATGAAATGAATTTTTCCATAATTATTATCCAATTATATATGTTCTTGCATGGTCATGTACGGTCAAAGTTCTCTATCGATCGTTAATTAATATTAAGATCTTAATTCTCATGGTATAAACTGGGAATATTTTGTTTCATTTACTGATCAAAGGAAAATGAAAACGACTTCAATGAAGTCATCATTGACAACTTACTTCAAGTCACTATTACATGTACTTTGGTGATCTATTAAAACCAGCTATAACTTTAATGTACAGCAGTATATTTTACAACTGAACTATAAACCTGTTTATGCATAAAAGGTTTGTCTACTTACCTTTTTCTTGTATTTCCCATAGAGTTGGTTAACTTGGATCAGACTATTTGATCCTTTAGGAAAAACTATCACATGTTCTGGGCTTGTTTCGGTTGACGGTGCCGGGGTTACGAAGATATTCGGCTCGGAAAGAGTTGTCCGGAATTTAGGAAACTTCCGGTCTTCCAAATTGTCGAGAAGTGGGTTCACACTCTCGACACTGATTGGAAGGCTATTTTGTTTTGGTGTAAATTTCAATCGTATAATTTCCGGACTGCCAAGAATTATTCCGCCATCTTTAAGTTTCTTATCATGAACGTTGTTCGCCAGTTCTCCATTATTGACTGACATTTTGAAATGTATGGTTAACATCTATTTTTTGAGGGTGGGCTTTTGTGATGACAACCATTACAATTTCTAATATCACCAATACTGAAATACAAGAAACAGAGTTTAACATTTAAATTTCTAGGTATATATACAATAAATACAAGTATTGATCACCCCTTTCAAAGTTGTCCTCATGAAATTATAATCAGCGAATTTCTCGTTTCTCCTCCAGCTAAATTAGTTCTCTACCGGAACAATGACAAATCTTAATCTCAAATAGACCAGCTGACAAAAAACTTGAAAAATGAATTCAAAATCAATTTTTAAAACGGATATTATTCAATTCTAAGAAATTACCTATTATGTCACAAACCACTGCACACTTGTCAGTATGATCATGCAGTTTTCAAACTCTTCGGCATTTGAAAGCAATTTCAAGTGAAAAGGATAATGAATCATTTCTGCAAATTGAATCCAGGTAAAATCCTCTGGGACTATACAGGTATCATTTGACGCTACATTTGGAATATTTTTAATTGTTCTCAGGAGCTTAGTCAATAGACCCCGAACAAAGTTAGGATTTGGATGAAATTTGTGCATAAAAATTGCCATGTCTCTTTAAACAAATTGCCATAATAATATTTTATTACGAGATCCCGTTATGGTTCTAAAACATTTTTGAGGAATTAATGTGTGCATGTATTTCATAATACTGTGATAATAAAAGTTTATGGTTTATTTTGAACTAAAAGGTACATTACAATGGAACAGAAAATTTTAATGCTGAAGTATTGGTTAAAATCAAAAAATAGCGATAATTGTATTTTAAGAAATATATACAAAGAAATGTTAGATGTGTGTGAATCTAACACTTTTCCTTGCTGGTTGTCACATATAAAAGAACTTGTTGATACATTAGGCTTTGGTTATTCATGGAACTGTAAAAATAATCTTAATGAAAAACTTTTTTTGTTTGAGGTGAAACAAAGATTGGATGACATGTTCATACAAGAAGCACGATTATTTTGAAGGTTCTCCGAATGCATTTTGTATAAGCATTTAAGTGATAGTTTTGATTTACAATTATATTTAAAAAGGTCAATATCACAAAAATATGCACAACATATCAGTCAATATCGTCTGTCTACCAACTAGAGATAGAGCTTTTTTAATATTCCTAGAATAGAAAGATTATGTAAATTTTGTTCAATGTCACAGGTTGAAGACGAGTATCATTTTATTCTGGTTTGTCCATTTTTTTTTCCAATGTTAGAAAAGAGTATATTAAAAAATATTATCACCAAAAACCCTCTACCTTTATTGTTCAATTGTTGTCGACAAAAAATGTAACAGAGTTATGTAAACTGGGAAAATATCTTTATAAATGTACAAAATTAAGAGCAGATGTAAATTGAATTGATATAACGACTTTATCCTCAATACTACTATTACTAAACTAAGTAAACTTATATTAATGTGTATTTTCTGCTTTATGAATTTAGAATGAATAGTTTGTAAAATTTTTCTATTATCCTGCTTTACTTAATGTTCAAATGATATTGCTGTTATACATATACTGTACAACTGATTTATGTATATACGTTAAACCTATGAACTGTATGGTTCTTGGTAATAAACAATACAATACAATACAATAATACTGTGATAATAAAAGGTTAAGGTTATGGTACAAAAGGTACATGTAGCTTTAGAGTAATTTTTAGTAGAATGTACATGTAGCATAAATTATTGTTGATTAACACACTCATCTTGTCCCGTTTTATTGGTAAGCTTGGATAAGATATTACATTTTTGGGCTAACATCTAGGTGGAAGTTGGCATTGATTGCTCCAAACTTTATCAGTACTCTTTTATTTCAAAGTAAGTTTTTGTTTAAAACGAATACTTTATCAATTAGGTTTAGACCGAAGATAAAAAGTTAACTTAAAATAAAAAGAAATTAATTTATATCAAAATGTCGACCGAAGTTCATAAAATTATATACTTTTACAATAATTATTTTGTATTGTGTATATGATATTGCCTACGGATGGTCATGAGGGGGTCATATAACAAAATACGATTACACAAAATAGAAAGCTGCTGCTCTAGTCATTTTTAGTAAAATGTCTTAGTACATCGTATATAAAAGTGACAATAATATCATAGTTTTAAGAAAAGAAATTGCATTCATAACATAAATTGCATTGATAAGCATATAAGGCCATGTCGTACTTGAAGGGTAAATGAAGTCATGGGCATAAAATACATGTACATGTATACATGTTTAATTAACTGTTGCCATCTTTCAAGCAAGTAAATGTACAAATTTCTAAAAACCTGAAACCTGTGACGACAAAAAATTGTCGTAGTAAATCAAAGGTTTTGTCTGTTTAAATTTTCTTTCCAATAAATCTACAGTTATATACAGCCATTTAGGACATTATAAGGGTCTGGACAAGATTGATTTTAGTTTACTTCTGGCAATTCTTGGAAAATGACGTTCAAATTGAATATTTATTTCAAACGCTATCGATGTATACTTTTAATGGATAGTTAACCGCAATGCTCGCCACTTTCTCATATACATTTGTATCTGAGACTAGCTATAATTGTCCTTCTGTCGAGACCTAAGTGAGTTCTAGATATGTTTCCTGCATAGTTTGATTGTTCTAAGCTGTATTAAGTTAAGTGTTCTAGAACGACGAAAGCTACCCATTGCCCCAATCAAAAACCTTGCTTTGGAATAAATATTCAAGTACAAAAGCGTATACGTGTACTTGCAAATTCCTGTACAAGTATTATGGCTATCCGAACAACCATTTATGATTGTTTAACCATAAAGATAGCAGAAAGCTCTTTTAAAAGAAGTCAGACAGTATATTTCTATACATAAGAGGAGACCTCAAAATTTGGGACAATTTTAAAATATCAAAATATATCCAATTTAGTACTAGTAATTCAGATTGTAAACATGCGTCAAGCATGGAGACAACGAAGACCAGAGCTGATCAAAGGAATTCTCATTACATTGCAATAAGTGGCCTATCCTTTTCGCCCAGACCATCATAATTGCAGAACATTTTAACAATCCTTATGGATACATGTAAGTGTCACAAATGCAGCACTACCGAATATACACTTTGTTTGTCTAAACAAGATATGCTAAAGATTGGTCGCAAACTAAATTTTTAAAACAGTGCATGGCCTTGATATCCTTTTGATATCGTATCCTTGAACTCACTGCTAAACTTTCTCTTGGACTCGAGAATGTACACTTGTTGCAAATAACTATATTTGGAAATCAATTAGCTCTTTTAGCAATATTAACCTTGGCATTGTACATCATCAATAGCCTTCACAAATATTTATGGTATATTCTTTGCCGACTTAGAATTAAAGGTTCGACGATTCCAAATAAAAATTCCTATTCGAATTCCAAAAAAAATGCCTCATCCCCATCCACCAGTATTATTGAATATATCAGGAAACAAAACACAACATATGATGAAAAAGTCTTACCCAATGTCCCTTTCAGTATGTCGGCGGATCAATTGATTTTACCTGTCCTCTGTCATCCTAACTAGCATCCATTATAGTAAATTTACCTCAAAGCAGTGTTTCTGATTGATTCTTCATCACCAGATTACTATATATGCAAACAGTGAATAGCACACCTAAATTCCAGTTTCAACATGATAATGTGGCCAATCTCGAGAATTTTCCTGTTAAAGACATGATGTTTTGCATTCTTGCAAATGCATGCCTGACTAAACAAAAACACAGCAGTTATTCCAATTTAATGATAATCAAAGTCGATTATTTTGCCATTGCACATTATGTCTCCAGTCAATAATTGATGAATGCATTCTTTAATACCGGCCCCTCTCAAAAGTCAATCATTTTAATGATGTTGATCAATCAAATACCGAGATTGTATGTAACAGCATGCCATTCCGAACTAAGGATGTTTCAAGCGACAGTTGGTGTGTCGTCTGTTGCTCTCTACCTTGCGCAAAAATAAATACTGGTACTAATTACCGTAAAACAATATGTCACTCAGTACTGTCAACAATACATCTGCTCTACATCCGTTTGACGGTCATTTTCATTGATTTGAAGGTTTTAATGAGAGCATGCCATTATAACCCGGTAAAGGCATTAGGTTTTCTGCGCGTATGGGTAGATGATATCCAGTTACTGTCAACTACTTGTATGGTGAATGATCAAAGCAGCTCATTAACTTTTGAAACGGGTGATGTACTCAAGACAATCCTTGGAACGTCATGTAGCTAGGCTTTCACATTTTACATCTACCCAAGATAGGCTTTTAAGTAACACGAACAATGACTGCAGAAATAAGTATGGGACAAAAAGCAGAAGTGTAGTTTTTGAAGATGATGAACAGCAGAATTATATTCGTCAAATTCGTTTGTCATCATTTCAGGTATCCAGGCGCATATCTTTTTCTAGGATAGGCAAGCTCATTTGGAATTCTCTCATCTGATCGAAAAACACTCACAAGTATATCGTGTGTACATACAGTTATATAATAAGTTTGTTCTACTTATTGATTTTTAAAGATGTTTAAATCATCAAATGACAAACTATACTCGCATTTTCAATCAAAACAGAAATTTTGTATATATTTATCAAACAGTATTTAAAAATGTTGCAGCAATATAATCAAATTTTTTTTGCATCAGTCAAGGTTGAAACAACGTTGAGGTTTAAACGTTACCTCAACGTTAACTTTCATTTGCAACCAAAATTCAGCTACAAATTCAGGAAGTCTCAAGCCAGTTTCAGCGGTTTTTTTTTTGTTTTTGTTTGTTTTTTCTTTTTTACTTTGAATCAACACTGAGATCTCAACGTTGCCTCGACTATCATACGCAACCAAAATTCAACGTTGCAGAGCAACCTTTATTCGTGCTCAACCTATATTTCTGTTAAGGACGCTGTTATACGTTAAGAATTTAGAACTATGCAAATATACGAGCTTTTCAGGTAACAATTGTTCATGTACAGTATAAGGTTTGTGATTTCTTCCTGTAGTGACAACATGTTGGATAAAGATTGCTTATTAACAGCATTAATTTGTTATATTTGTATATCTTAAATTTTGGCAACAGGTCCATAGTTCTATGGAATTTCGCTTGAGGGCAGAGCGAGAGCATAGTATTACATACATGTATTTTACCATGTTAACACTCAGACAAATCTCGGACCTTTTTGAGAGGACACGGCCATAAATAGCTTTGTTTTCTTTAATCTCTCCAGTCACAAGCGTCAGACGCAGTGGTTAGACGTCTGCTCTAGACGTCTGCTCTAGAGTCGCGAAGTACATGTACATGTAAGGAGTCGATCCTTATACGTCGCGGGTTCAAATCCTACTGTTAGACGTGGAGACCGGTCCTCCGGATGAGACTGTATAAGCCAAGGCCCTGAGTCACAGTAGATGCTGGCTCCAAAAAGATTCCTCCCTGCTCAACAGCCCTGAGTGCCGAGTATAGGACAAAATTTGCAGCTCTCCACCGGTAAGTGGTGGCGTCTCCATATTAGTGAAGAATTCTCGAGAGGGACGTTATACATGTACCATAATCAATCAATCAGGCAATCTCTCCATCCTCGCAATGCCAGGGGTCCTGTGTCAAAGCAAATATTAATAATTTATTCAATAAAATCAAATATTTTCCCATAAATATATATAGAATTTTAATAAAATGATTATAAAATTGTATTAAACCTCTGAAGAATACATTAAGCTAAATCAGGTATTCACAGGTAAATCCAGGTAAATCCAAACCAGAAATCAGACTATAATTGCTATCAAAACACACTTCACACCTATTGTTCTATACCTAATTACCAAATGTGTGCAAAACGGGAACACACCGCCGTGTAGCAACCTCTAATGATAAAACACCGCTTAATGATACAAATAGCATTAAGAGTTGCAATTGCAACGCCTAATGCCATAAATTATTGCATTAATAGCTGACAGTCGTAACCGCTAATGCTAAATCGCCGCTTAATGATAGAATTATATCATTAAGCGTCACAAATGCAGAGCAACACCGACGCCTAATGAAACAAGCAAATATCGACATAGCCGACGGCTAATGATACACGCTAGTGTATCATTAAGCGTTGCATTTGCATCCTTAATGATAAAAAAAAAATCGCATCCATCCACCAATCCGGGATCTTGTCATGCATTGTTTTTGTGTACATATGTGATTTTTAAAATTATTATTTTTTCCAATATTTTTCATTTCTAAGAGATCTTTACTGGTGAGAAATTTCATCAACACACCCCCACCCTCCTGATAAAACTGCTTGGATACTTGAAAGAAATTGCTATAATCAGCCTATATAAATAAGCCTATATAATCGCCTAACCCGATGTAAATTAAATGATCCCAACAGGAAATATATTCAACAATTTCAAATTCACAATAAAAAGACTGTTTGGTTGCAATACACATGTATATTAAAGACAATTTTTGGAATTTCTGTCTAGCTAGGAGATCATGCCAAGGCATCAACGATCTAGTGGGAAACATAGGAAAATTTGCATAAAGGGCTTCCCGCGCCTTGAAGTCAAATATTACTATAAAAATAGTCCCATAAAAACAAATTAAATGATTGTTTAGTAACTCTAGTCAAATATCAACATTTATGAAATAAAGAACAAAAGAATTTTAAATTATGATCAAAGCAATTTTGTTAACTTTAATTCTATATGTGACCCAGTTTCAGGTTGTCAGAAGCACAAACATGTGTTTAAGCCCTAGGCTTACGCACTTGGATGGTATAGTAATGACTGAGGGACGATGTCTGTATCAGATGATGGAGTGTGTGTAGCTGTGCCGATTTCTCAACGTGATTCAGATTAGTGACTTGCTTTTGATCCGTAGATAATTCAGTATTATTTTGTTTGAAGAAAAATATATCATATCTAACAACTTTGTAAAGGATTAAACGAAACTTCTTTTTTTCCTCAGTGTATTCATACGCCACTCATATACATGCAGGTTGACATTTGACCTTTCTGTAGTATTTAAGGTATTTTAACCATCACTATTGTAATGGTTCAAGGTACAGAAACTGCGTTTATTTTTATTTGATTTAGTTTAAATTTACTAATTATTGCAAAAAAAATATATAGGTTGCCATATTATTATGGACAGGAGACAAAAATAAACAGAAGTATATGTCAGCATTAAAAAATTGTAAATTTTTTGTAAATATTATGATAGAAATTATGCAAAAACCGGATTAAATGCATAATTCTGATGCTGAAAGTTCAGATATACTTGCTACCTCTAACATAATTTTGAATTGTGAATACCAGGGAAACTATTTAACATAAGAAGTACAATAAAGAAAATCCACGAATGAAGATCACTGAGAAGGAGTTATTGCCCTTGTCAACATTTTTCAATAATTGATTAAAAAGGAAATAAATATTAAACAATATTTATCATTATACCTATTGAAAAGTATTCCTATAAAAATATTGTTCTACTTGGCATGAATCTAAATTAATAACAGTTTTTTTTGCAAAAACCTATAACATCATAGGAGGATGGAAATACCTTAAGGACCCTCTCTACACAAGTGCAAATTTTTTTTAACACTGAGAAAAATATATTGTATAATGGAGTTAATATTGATCTTATTATCTAATCTTCACTGTATGGTGCGTAGCATTTACCATCGGGAAAAATGTTAAAAAACAACAAAGTATCAGTGAATTCATAGGAATCACTGTTAATTACGAGGGTCGATCAAAAAGTTCGCGAACTATCTCAATATCTACAAAACCATTATTCGGATTAGAAAAAAGTTTGTACACACATAGCCATGCACAAGTTCTATAAAAAGCATATGCTGAAAAAAGTTTTGCACCTTGTTTGTGACGTCACAATGTGAAAATAACGTCACTTTGCAGGCCACTTGTGACGAAAAATGGTTGTCTCAGTCGAACTCGTTCAGCAAACGATTGTTAGGTTTATGGTATATCTTAGAAATCCCTTTGAAGTAGCATATAATAACATGTACACAGTTTATTAAGGCAAATGACTTCCTATGAATTCAATCAATGATTGGATTAATCGTTTAAGTGAAGGAAGGCAGATGTTTAAAAATGATACTTATGTTGCGCAGTTAAAGCAAGTTTGAAAAGAGATGTGTTTTTAATTAAGCAATTTGCTATCAAAGACCTCCAATTTACACTTTGAAAAATACTTGAATACATGTATTATAACAATAATATAATTATCAAATACTAGTACCTAAGATATTGTTTACTTTAGATTTTAAATATATTAGATATGATAAAAAAGAGACACACATACTCTATCCACCTTGAACAAACGTCTCTCCCGAGACAGAAGGTTTGGGTTTTGATGGTCCCCATGCTTATTTTGGGAAAGGGCATTCTTATCCAGCAATTCTTTTGCCGAGATTTGACCATTTTTGACAAATAAACTGTTCTTGTTATAAAAATTAATAGCCATTCTCTGTAACCACTTGAACATCGTTGCCACGCATGGTCACTGATTTTGATGAAACTTCACCCATGCTTAGTATTTGACACCACAAACAAATATCAAACAAAATTTCGTTGCTAAGGGTATCGGTTGCTATGGCAATAGCCGGGAAAGTTTGAAAAATTGAGATTTTCAGCCACTTTAAATCTTGACTGTGGCTTCATAAAAACTAGAAAAAGCAAACAAACCATTCTAACAAAAACATGACACCTTGATGTCACTTATACTGTAAAGAAACTCTTTAGATTATATCTCTAAGTAAGTGGTTAACCAAGGCTACATTTGGAATACATTTAAAATGCTGAAATATGCCGAAAAATATTCACTAATGGTAGGTGTTACATGCTCAAACTCAATCAACGACTTAAGAAAAACAGTGAAAATGTTTGACCTTAAGTATATAAGTATAAGCAATATTAATCTATGAATAACTTTTATGGTTGCCATGGTAATACAGTGTAACCATGCAAAACTAGTAACTAAGATTGGGTTAATGCTACTGTCTTGAGGAAAAACATGAAAATTCAAGACTGGCAAATATGCATCCTTAGGACCTTGCATCACCAAAACCATAAGAAAAATTGGGTATAATTGCTACTTTGAAGTGTTACCATGGAAACAAAGTTTCAGTGCTTAAAAGTGAAT